GTTGTATCAGACACTGGATTCTTGGACCCACTCTTTCCCCCTCCTTCGGATCATTCAGTCCTGTACTGTATCCAGCACCACACAAACCTCAGTGGTTGTCCTCTGCTAGCTAGGCTTGAGAACACAAGGGTTGAGAACAGGCTGCTGTTATGTAGAGTTCATCCCCCGGCTGGGGAAGCTACTATCCTCTCCCTGATCATCCCCAGTCATCCCAGACAGAGGAAGGCCCTTCAGGGTGGCAAGGTGAGGACTTCATCTCAATATAGCCTGAGGATGTGGGGAGAGCTTTCTTTTTTTAATACCTTTTGTTTTAGTTTTGTTGGGGTTGTTTTGTTTTGTTTTTTCCTTCTGGTTTTTTTGTTTTGTTTGAGTAACATGTTAGGAGTTAATGTTGCAAAGAGTAGTTTACATCTTCACTTTTCTGAAGACACTTGAATCTAGGACCGATGTATCTGTGACAAGCATGCCAGGGGTGGCAGGGTCATCAGGACTAGCCACTTCACACCCACCATCCTCTCACGGGGATCCAAGACCTGAAACACGAAGCATCATCTTGTCCCAAATCCCTGTGTTCATTCTGTATCCTTCCAAGGTTTCTCCATGTCAACATAACCTGTGGGCATCAGGCACCAGAAGTCTGTGCTTCATGAAGCCCTGGTGTGGGATGGGTTTTTCCTAACACCCTCCCCTGAACCTGGGAGCAAATGCACTACCAGTACAGATGGGCCACCAGCCTTGCCCAGCCAGGACTCCTGGAGTGCAGATCATGGTTCTGAGCTCCAGTGTCAGGGTGGTTTTGCTTCTTTTTTGTTCCTGCATAGCTTTTTACCTTCCCCTTGATTTATATGGCAGAAATCAAGCTGCACAGAAGGCCCTAGAAGTGGGGAAGCGGAGCAGGAAAGATAATTTGAGAGCAGAGAGAGGAGGCTTGCCAAAACCTGAGTAGACTGCTTTGAATCATCTGGCCCTCCTGAATGAAACCCAGAGAATCTCCTTGGTGCAAAGGTCCCTGGCTTTGCCCCAGCCCCACTTCCTTCAGCCATATTGATGGTGGAGGCAGAGAAGAATTTAGAGCCCATTTCTCACTGGAGAGGAAAACTTGTTATCTGGCTTTGCAGAGAAGGTTCCATCTTACGCTCATAGTACATTATCTTTACCATGTGCTAGGATATCACATTTAAAAGGAAAAAAAAAGAAACATGTAAAATACTTGAATGAGCTTGTATTATAACATTAATATTATTGAGAGTATCTGCTTTCCAGGCTGAAGTGATTCATTCATTATTCTAGTCCTGCTTTAGTCCTTTGTAATTTGTGGTAATTATGCTTTTCTTTTTAATACAAAAAAATGTATAAAAATAAAAACTTGAAAAGGCAAAACACTGGCTTGGTCTTCGATCTGGATGACAACTCTTAGATGTGAGAGACTGAGCCTAACGAAGATTCTCCAGATCCAGGGGACTGAGTGCTGCTGGCAAGCTTGCCCTGTATGTGCTGTACTGTTGTGTCTTCTAAGTAATGGGAGCTGCAGTCAATGAAAGATGGGACAGACACCATCCTTCAGAAGGGGTAGCAGGGCTTCAGCCCACTTGCCTCCTCTCAGTTTTTTAGCTTTGCCTTAGGAGAAGGTTTGTCTTGATTTCTCATGGAAGGTTGGTATAGACCCCTCAAAATAGATTCTCCTGCAGGGGTGTGAAGGAGTAATTCTTCACTCTTGGATCAACACTGAGCCACTTACACAATTAAAAGCGAGGTATGCCCTTTTATTCATTCATGCATCTGACAACTGTACCTCATGAACAACACCTGAATATGTGTTCAGGCACTTCACTGCTAGGGGCATCCATGAAGCAAAGAAGGCATCCAGAGCTCTTAGAATGATTGTAAATGGATTGTTACTTTGAGGGCAACAATTTGAGTTTATTTAGCCCCACCTGCTAAAAAATTGTTTTGATGTAACTAGGATGCCATGTTGTATGGAGAAAGGGGGGAGGGAACCCCAACTGCTGAACCAGAATTAAAAGGACTTGGCTTATTTTATACAATTGGTGTTTTTACAACCACGTTTTTCCTAAGAATTTTACATAAGTTTCAGGCTATTTTTTTCATCTCAGTTTACCCACCTCAGGACTACTGTTTGTTGCAGAATACTGGGTCAAGTCCCACAACCCATGACATAGTGTCTTCTATGGTATCTCACTGTGTAAAGACTTGAATGGAAAAAATGACATTCCCTTTTCATCTCTATCCTCATCCCTAACCCTTCTTAAATTAGAATGGTTCCCGTCCCTGGTGCCCACCCCATAGTATTTATAAGAAGGAATCATTTGTGCAGGCCTGGAGCTTTGGGACATGAAGCATTAATTTCCTGGAGAGGGAGCTGGGACCCATCAAAACCAGAGGTGGGCAGGCAGGTTTGGGAAGACCCAAAGTTGCTGCCTGGTATGCACCCAGTTGTGGGACAAGATAGGTCCATGGCCATAGTTTTAACAAGCGTAACCCATGTTTTAGAACATTGTGTCTGGAGATTCAGCCTTAAAATAGTTAAAATATTAAAGAGCCTCAGGCTTCCTGGTAGGGCCTGTGGCTTCTGGGCAGAAACCAGGGTAAGGAATGCTGCTGTGGTTGGTGGTTTTTGTTTTTGATTGTATGGGTTGACTCTTCCCCCCCCCCCCCTCGTATGTTTAGGTAAGTTTTCATGTGACTACTGCAAAAATCACATAGCAGATGGAGCTGAGACAACTGGTTAGTCAGTCACTGGAACAGCAGGGTTATGATAACCTTTGTGGTCCTGCTTCCAGGAGGCTAACAAAGGAGTCTCAATGTGAGTGTTCCCATAGCTAGCAACTAAACCTTGTGTGAAAAAGGCCTTTGGGGCTTTTCCAGCTACGGCTGAAGCTGAGGTGTGCTCTACGCCATTTGTATTATCCAAAGACGCTCCTTTTCAAAGGAGTAAGAATTTTGTGGTGAGCAACATTGAAATGAGATGTGTGTGTGTGCGTGTGTTTGGAAGTAGTGCTGACTGGCATGCTAAGAATTAGGGTTTGGTCTTCCCCAGTTACCATTTATCTGGATATCATGGTTGGAGTAGGGTATAAGAAAGGACTCATTTTGTACAGTGGACAAAATGCAGCCCTCTGTCACCCATCTCCTGGCACTGGCAGCTATCGAGCCTTTTCTGGTTAAACCACAAAAGGAGCCTGGTAGGGTGGGAAAAATGTACTGGAAACAAGTGGTTTTATCACTTGAGGCAAGGTAGAGTTCTGACCTTTCTTACCATTTTGACAGGCTAGAGGGTTGTGCTCCTAAACCTCATGCATTCCAGTAAAGTCTGACTGAGCACCCAGTTAGATTTCCAAAGTTGTAAATCCTCTAGCAAAAGACTGCCCGGCTTTCCCTTGAGCAGCAGGTGGCTTCGAGATGCCTACCTTTGTTCCCGGTGCAGCGTTACACAGTACACCAGTGCCACATGCCATCAAAGTTTCCCCCCTCTGCTCGACCTGTCTAGAAAGCTCTTCTTAATTCAGTTTCTGATCTTATAAAAGTGTTCCCTCCAGTGCCTAAAAGTGTAGCATTCCCATGACGCTGAAATGGCACAAAGCAGAAGAGCAATTCATAGGGTAAGAGTTTTTAGCATTCTCAGACTCGAAATAGAACCTACTAAAGAACAATCAAAACAAGATTAGCACAAAAAGTAACCTCAAGTAGCTAATAAAAATGGGAATGTGATAAATATGCTATCAAGTGGGACGTACATATGTAATGTTGAAAAGGAAGGGGCTTGGCAGCACCATTTCTGCTCATACTCTGCCCTATGAAACCACGAGGATGAGTTATGCTTTAGCTTTTTCAAAAAACTGAAAATGCTCTGAATTTTCGTTAGCAAAATCAGATACTAAGGATGTTTTTCCTAAAAATGAAACCACATAAAGCAAGTTTTTGAAAAGCAAATTCCTCTGTTGGGCAGTAGTTCGGTGGCATCCTGCCCCCTAGCCCTGTGTTCTCAGGAAACTTGCTCTCCCTGCCCTGCAGATACTCATGATGCTGTTTGTTAAGAGTGTGCCTATAGGAAGCGTGTTGTCAGGTGCTGTTACTAGGACTCGGACCCATCCTGGCACTGGGGCCCTCCCTCACTTCATCTTCTTTGGGGAGTCAGGAATGCTCTCAGAGAGTGGAGTGAAGCCCAGCAGAATGACATGTCTCTCGTATGCCTTGGTCTGCTTAAACATGGTGTCAGTCCCATGAAGGTGGTCCATTACCCCCAGCACGCCGTAGCATTGGTTGAACCTGTTGGAGAGAGGGAGGGACTTTGTGAAAGCTTGTGCTACCTGCACTTCATTTGTAGAACCCATTCATTTCTACACCCTTATGCCTCATACCTGTCATTCTGGTAACCTGCGTCAGAACAATTTGGGGAGCTACTGAAGTGTTTTTACTCCTGCAAATAAAGTCTTAACATTCCCTAGGTTATTCTGGTGCACACAAGTTTGAGAACTGGCAGAGCTGGGCTTGGTCCTGTAACACAAATGCTAATTTCCAAGCTCTATAATCCAGATTATTTGAGCATCCTAGGTGATTCTGGTGCAAGCTAGTCCTTGGCTACACCTGGTACGACCTGGAGACTCTCGGCATAACCCTGCTTTGTGCATGCAGGGTCTTTATGGACATAGGCATTTTTCTGAGAAGAGTGATGATACTTATAAAACCCATAGAAAGAGCAAATCTCTAGTGATCGTCCTGGTGTTGAAAAAGGGGCAGGGTGATCTGGCTCCAGTGTAATTGTTTTTCTTACCTCCAGAAGTCCCCCACCAATACCCACCAATGTCTACTATCAAAAGCATCATGAAAGACAATGCTTGTTAGCTAATGATCCAATATGGGCAGGGGTGGGAGAACTTACTTGAGATGGTGGAAGTCATGGAATTCAGGTGAAGGCAGGAAAGGTAAGTGGTAGCCACAGTGTGAGATGATGGTAACAATGAGAGCCAAAGAGAACCAAATGATGATAGATGATAAGTGGGAGCCCATTATTACAGGACCCAGTATTGCTGGCAACATGTTGGAGACCTGCAAGAGGAGGAATGATTGAAAGCAAACTCGAGAGAGATGGGGAGGATCTCCCTAGGATAGTCTACTCTTTCCCAGAGAAGTACCAAGAAGACTTCGTTGACAGAAATCTGGAGAAGCAGAGAGGGTTACCGGACATTGAGTTGTTAACAGATTGTTCAGGGCTAATTTGAGACAAGCTTTACTTGTAGGAGCCTCAGCATTCCAATTGGTATCCTAAAACTCATTCCCAATGAACTGTGCCACAAGTGGTCCCCAAAAGGGGGGCTTTTTTGTTGCATTATTGAGTTATCTCTCAGAGCGACCCTGTGAACAACAGATCTGAAACTTGTCTGTTTCTATGCTGTCCTCATAGTTTCTGACACACTTGATCACATTGCTGCAGTCATTGTATCAGTCCATTTGGTCGAGGGTCTTCCTCTCTTTTCCTGAACCATCACTTTCCAAATGATCCTCTCCAGGGAATATTCTCCCTTAGCATGCCCAAAGCATGTGAATCAAAGCATTCTAGCTTTGCTTTCTCCGAGACACATCTGTTCTTTTGGCAGTTTATGAAATATTCAGTACTCTTCAATATCACAGCTCAAAGGCTGTTGTCAATTTTTCTGTTTATTTTCCAGCTCTCAGATGAATCACAAGTGATTGAAAAGACCATGACCTGAATCAGGTGCACCTTAGTCTTCAAAATTACATCATTGTTCCTCCATAATTTGGAGTGGTCTGCGACAGCAGATTTACATCATTGTGGATCCAAGCAAGATGAAATTATTGTCAATTTCAATCTTTCCCCATCAAGATGTTGCCTATGTGTCCACTGGCAAGAATTTTATCTTCTTGATTTTAAAATATAATTCATATTGAAGATTGTAGTTTTTCATTTTCTGCAGCAAGCACTGCAGATCTCTCTTAACCGGAAAGGTGGTGTCGTCTGTATAATGTAGATTGTTGAGTTGTCTTCAGATCCTGATGCTACATTCTTCATAAAGTCTAGCTTCTCGAATTATTTGCTCAACATACAGATTGAGTAAGTATGGAGAAAAAGTACAGCCCTGGTACACCCCTTTTCTTAATTTTAAACCATTCCATGTTCTCTTGCTCTGTTTACACGACAGTGTCTCTGTCTATGTATATAGGTTTTGCATGAGCACTATTAAGTATTCAGCAATTCCCAATAACACAATTTGTTATGATCCACACAGTCAAATGTTTTTGCGTTGTCAGTAAAGCACAAATAGTTTTCTGGTACTCTTTTCAGCCAGGATCCATCTGACATTAAAAATGATATCTCTAGAGTCACAGCCTCTTCTAAATCCCACGTGAACTGTCAATTTGGTGCCAGTGTACTGTTAAAGCGGTTTGGGATGACCTTCAGCAGTCTTTTTTTTTTCTTGTGATATTCATGATACTGTTCGATAATGTGCACACACTGTTGAATCACCTTTCCTTGAAAATGGGAACCAATACTGACATCTTCCAGTCAGCAGGGCAGCTGTCCTCTGAATTTTCTGACACAAACTGGTGTGCTCGTCCAGGGATGTATCGGTTCCTTCTAACATATCAGTTAGTATCATCAATTCTTGGTACTTTATTTTTTTTGCCAGTTCAATACAGTACTGCTTGAATTTACCATTGGCTCTTGATTATTTGGTACTTCTGGAAATATTTAAGTGTTGGCCAATTCTTTTTGGTATAGTAACTCAATGTATTTCCTCCTTTTTAAATTTTTTTATTTACTTTTTTATTATTTTGTGTGTGTGTACTGACAAATCTGATCTGACTGGTACAGGAGGAGACTGCCCCTCCTCCTTCATCAGAGCATCTGGCGGATCCGAACTGCACACCTCTCTACGTCTTTTGATACTTCCTGGGTCAGTTAAAATGTTTTCCATCACATCTCTCAGTATTAAAACTCCAGGCTTGAATTTCTTTTTTAGTTCTTGAACTGAAAAATCAAGCTGAAGCTTGAGAAATGCTGAATGAGTTATTTTAGGGAGGAGTAAAGGACATAGCCTGTCATGCAGCATAGCTGTGCCAAACAATAAATTCTGTTATATTATTTTTTTATGTATGTACATCAAATCGAATCTGATGGGTACAGGAGGAGATTGCCTCTAGCAGAGCATCTGGTGGATTCAAATTGCATACCTCTGGGATTGCAGTGCAGATTCTTGCCACTTGGCCACCAGAGCTCCCTAATAAATTCTTGTTTTAATAACGAAAGAACTGAGAGTGATAGGTATTTTCTGCCCTTTGCCTTTGTAGATAGTGGAGTACTACTCACCACATGCTCTATGGGGTGGGAATAGAGAGAGATCACACCAATGGGAGCTGTCCATTCGTGGTGTATCTTGTGGATTTTCTTGTAGAATGCTGGGTGGTGAAGGAGCCTGTAACATGAAGGAGAGAGTTAATCTGCCAGTCAATCCCTCACCACCCTGCCATATTGTGTTGGAAAGCCATACCACTCACCCCTATAGTTGATCTGACAATCACCCATACTCCCCCCCCAAAAAAAATACCTTCAAATACCATGCCACTCTCATTGCCTTGTTCCAGCCCCACTTTTTAAGCTGCATGATGACAGACTTTGCCAAACTATGGCCTGTACTGTAGGTTAATCATTCAACTGCTAAACACAAGTCTGCAATCTGAACCCACCTCTGTTCCATGGAGGAAAGGGGGCAATCTGGTTCCCTTAGTTACAGCCTAGTTAAAACTGAGGCCATTCTGCTCCCTCTCTATGACTGCTTTTAAGTTGGAATTGCCTTGATAACAGTGGGCTCTTTTGTGCCAAGCTCTCTCTGTGGATTTGTAAGATTTGTTGTTAGCTGTCATTGAGTCTACCATGACTCATCGCAGCCCTGTGACCGAGATCAAAACCTTCACTGATCCTATGCCATCTTCACAGTCTGCCGTGCTTAAACCCATCACTGCTGTCTTGTCAATCCAGCTTGTTGAGGGTCCTCTTCTCTTTCAGCTGACCCTCTTCACTCTCTTCCCCCTAAGGACTGGCACCTTCTGATAAGACAAAGTCTGCCATCTATTTCTCAAAAGAGCACTCTGGATGCAGTCTTTCAAGACAAATTTGTTTTTTCTTTTGGCATAGGATATTCAGCACTCTTCACCAGGACCACATTCAAAGTCGCCAATTCTATCTCCTTTATAGTCCAGCTTTCACATGCATCTGAAGCAAATGAAATACATAGCTTGTGTCAATCACACCTCCATCTTTACATTGGCATCTTGTTCTTTAGCACTTAAACAGGGTCCTTGATTGCAGATTTTCCCAATCCATCTTGAGTCTTTCTGACTGTTGCTTCTATAGGTGTTGATTGTGGATTGAAGTAAAATTAAATCATTGACAACTTCAATCTTTTTTTCCCATTTATCATGGTGTAGACCAAGGGTCCAGTTGTGAGGATTTTTTGTTTCGGTGGAACCCATACTGAAGACTGTAGTCCTTTTTTCTTCAGTAAGTGCTTTTAAGTCGTCTTCACATTCAGCAAGGAGGGCTATGCAAGATTGTTAATAATTCTTTTAGTCCTGATGCCAAATTCCTCACGTTAGGTCAGTTTGTTCAGCATACAAATTGAATGGTGGTGTTTGTTCTATGATTCTAGCTACCCTCTGAACATGAGATCTGAACTCTATCCTGTGCCATCCTCATCATCTCTGTCACACGACAGCCCATTGTTAAAGTCACTGTGTCAATCCATATCGTTGAGGAGCTTCCTCTCCTTTGCTAACCCTCCACTTTTCCAAGCATGTCTTTCTCCAAGGACTAGCCCTTCCTAACAACATGTCCAAAGTGGGTGAGATGAAGTTTCAACATCCTTCCCTTTAAAGAGCCTCCTGGCTGTACTCTTCAAGACACATATCTCTTCACTCTCTTGGCTATGGGAGATTTAGTGTCCTCCAGCATCACACCTCAAAGGCGTGGATGATGATTCTGTTACATTTTGAGATGAACTAAGTAGGTATAGTAAAAGAACCCTGATGCACACCTTTCTGGATTTTAAACCATCTACAGCCCCTTTTCTGTTTGAAAGACTATTTCTTTGTCTATGTACAGTTTTCACATGAGCACAGTTATGTTTTCTGCAGTTTCATTTTTTTTATCATTGTAACTGATGTATGGAAATAATTTCTATAAAAATCATTAAGATGGGAACTGGATTTACTGTGTAAACTTTGCCCTATAACACAAAACATTTTTTAAAAAGAAAAGCAACACAACATAATCTACTCCCTAACACAAATTTCTAAAATTCTCCTGCTCCTTAAATTTTTTCACTTGTTTTCTTCCTGCTTTTGTTCTGGCTTTTTTCTAGGCTAAAATTCTTTAATGGGAAGTCCCTACCTTAATGTATCAAAATCTAACTTCTATCCAAAGCAGCATTACCTTCTTAAATAGAGTAATTTCTTGCTTTCATTTCCCATTTGCCTTATTTACAAATGAGGTAGTAGTTTTGTTTTGGTTTTTTTTTTATGAAAGTTTACAGAGAATTTGGATTTCCATTCATTCATTGTTGCACACTTTCCTCCCTGCCCACCCCTCCCCCGCCCATTTCGCTTTTCTCTTTGGAAAGTACAAAAAATTGTTTCATTGTTCTACTATCCCCTCCTTCCCAGTCTACTCCACTATGCAGCTTTCATTCTGGACTCTTGTCATGACAATAATGCCTAATCATGTACTCCTCCTAAACAGTTCTTTCCCTCATCTGTTTAAATGCAGTATATATTATTTATCCCCTCTATCTCAGTCTCCCCCCAGTGCCAGTGTCAGTCCTGCTTTACAACAGTGGCACTATGCAATATTTGTCCTTTTGTGACTGAGATATTTCACTCAGCATAATGTCCTCCAGGGTCACCCATTTTGTATAATATTTCATGAGTTCCTTGTTTTTCAATGCAGTGTAACATTCCATTGTGTGACTATACCACAAATTCTCTATCCGTTTGTTGATGGGCACTTGGGTTGTTTCCAACTCTTTGCTATTGTGAACAAAGCCACAATAAACATGGGTGTGCTAACCATAATTTTTTTTATGGTCCACACAGTCAAATGCCTTTGCATACTCCATAAAATACAAATTCTTCTGGTATCCTTTCCAGCCAAGATCCATCTTACATCAGCAGTGGATTCCCTGGTTTTCTAGCCTTGTCTAATTCCAGCTTGAATTTCTAGCAATTCCTTATCAATGTACTGTAGCAGCTGTTTTTAAAAAGAATCTCTTAAAAAAATTAATTTTATTATTTTTTATGTGTGTGTACCGTCAAATCAGATCTAACAGGTACAGGAGGAGATTGTCCCTCCTTCCTCGGCAGAGCATCTGGTGGATTAGAACCGTGCGCCTCTGGGATTGCAGTGCAGCTTCTTGCCATTAGGCCACCAGAGCTCCCCTAAAAATAATCTTACGTAAGATTTTACTTGCATGCAATATTAATGATATTCTATTATTTCTATGTTCTGTTAGATCACCTTTTGGGGGGGGTGGGAACAAATACCCCTTCTAGTCAGTTGACTAGGTAGGTAGTTGTTTTCTAAATATCTTAGCATAGACTAGTGAGCACGTCCAGGGTTGCATCTATTTGTTGAAACATGTCAACTGGAATTCTATTAGTTCCTGAAGCCTTATTTTTTTGCTAATGCCATTAGGACAACCTGCACTCCTTCTATCATGACTATTTGTTCTTGATCATATGCTACTTCCTGTAGTGTTTCAGCGTCAACCAATTCTTTTTGGTACAGTAACTATGCCTTCCATCTTTTGATGTTTCCTCTATCGTTCAAGATTTGCCCATAGAATCCTTCAATATTGCAGCTTGAGGCTTGAATTTGTTTTTTAGTTCTTTCAGCCTGAGAGGTGCCAAGTGTGGTGTTCCCTTTTAATTTTTGAACTCCAGCTCTCTATACATTTCGTTCTAATTCTTTGCTTTGTCTTCTTGAGCTGCCCTTTGAAATCTATCAGTGTGCATAGTAACCATTTATGTTTTTATAAAAAGGCATTTTCCAGTAATAAATCATTGTACAAAATTCTGTCATAGGATCTCCAGCTTAATTTCTGTTACTAATGCCATATTTTTTATGTTGAAAAGTTTTAGTGTTCCTGTAGGTGAATCCACTTCAAATATTGATGCCCATCAAATATACACAAAGAGAAGCAAACGTGATAAGCATCCAAGTCAATGAGAACAAACACACCCCGGCAGCTTCTCCTGCCCACAGAATCCAGACTCAGGGACCAGGCATTTGTAGCAACAGGAAAGCTCTGGTGATAATGCCATATTTTAAAATACAATCCTCCTTTGTTTCTAACTTTTTATTCCAGTCACCAATTACTAATGCATTTTTATTGCATATTTGATCAGTTGCAGACTGCAGACCCTTCAATTTCTTTAGGCTTGAGCGTTAGTGGTTGGTTAGTGCATATATTTAAATATAGTAGAATTAATAGTTCTTTCCTGTATGCATTATGGATATGGCCCTTTCACTGACACCACTGTACTCTAGGACAGATCTTGAAGTAAATCTTTTTAAGGAGGAATACACACCATTGCTGTTGCTGCTGTTAGGTGCCATTGAGTTGAGTACAATACATTGTGACCCTATGAACAGCGGATCTGAATCCTGTCCTATCCTGGGCTATCTTCACACTTCTGACACACTAGAGCCCACTGCAGCAGTCACCATGTCAGTCCAACTGATCAAGGGTCTTCCTCTCCTGCCCCTCCACACTTCCCAGCATCATGTCCCTCTCCAAGGAATAGCCCCTCCTAGAAGCATGCTCAAAGTATGTGAGGCAAGGGCTCATCATCCTTGCCTGTGAAGAACACTCTGGCGGCACCCTCTCCAAGACATACTTATTTGTTCTTTTGGCCATCCATGGAGTGTTCAGTGCTCTTCAACACCACAGCTCAAAAACATCAAATTTTTCTTCTTTCATCCCTATTGAATGTCCAAACATTTGACTGTGTGGATCATAACAACTTGTGGCTGACATTGAGAAGAATGAGAATCCTAGAGCTCTTAATTGAGCTCATGTGAAACCGATACCTAGACCGGGAGATTGTTGTGCAAACAAAGCAAGGGAACACTGCATAGTTTAATATTAAGAAGGAAGTGTGTCAGGGTTGTCTTCTTTCTCCATATCTATTTAATCTGTATGCTGAGCAAATTATTTGAGAGGTTGGACTCTATGAAGAGGAATGAGCCATCAGGATCGGAGGGAGACATCACTAACTTGCGTTATGCTGATGATGCAATCTTGCTTGCTCAAAGGAGGACTTGAGGCACTTGTCAAAAATCAAATCAAGGAATGTAGTTTTTAATTTGGATGGCATCTCAATGTCAAGAAAACAAAGATTCTTACCACTGGACCGATAGGCAACATCATAGTGGATGGAGAAGAGATTGAAACTGTCAACAATTACATCATGCTTGGATCCATAGTAAACACCCTTGGCACCAGCAGTCAGGAAATGAGGAAATGTATCGCATTGGGAAAGTCTGCAGTTAGGGACCTCTCCAAAGTATTGAGGTGTAATGATGTCAATTTGAGGGTGAAGGTGCATCTGATTCAGGCCATGGTCTTTCTGATCACTTGCTATGTGCCAAACCCATTACTCTTTGTCATTCCTAATATAGTAGATCAAATGATTGTCTGATTTAAAATGGCAATACCAGTCCATCTTAGCTCCCTAAAGCCTGTGATGTTGCTGCTTAGTCTGGAAGTGCTACTGAAACCTGTCTACCTTGGATGATCCCGCTAATATTTGAAATGCCAGTGGCTTCTTCTTCAGCATCACAGCAACAGACAGACCACCACAGTACAGCAAATTGCCATAGAAGGAGTGCAAAATAGGGATGGCGCCCAGAAAAGGATTTCATAAGTTAATAGATGAAGAATTTGCCAGCCTAGCACACAAATTGAGAAGGCTGCTGCCCTTCTTCCTAGGCATTCCTCAGTTGTCCCAAGTGGTCAGTATGAGACAAATTGTTGCCTCTCTCTTCACCAAATACTAGTCAGGGGGGTGTTGGTCCTAAACCTAGAGTTCCTCATTTATACATGAGCTTTAAGATGGCTGGGCTCAGGCAGGGACCTTGCTCACCTGTGTGAGTAGTAGAACAAAACTTCTTCAATCAGGGTGAAGATTACCAGCTCCAGCAGGAACCAGTGGAAGGTGGGCAGCTCTTGGCGGCAAGGGTCTCCCCTCCACTTGAGTAAGGGATAAAGCATGACAACCATGGGAACAGAGAGTATGTACTGGTTGAAGAGAACTGTTCGGATGGACCGGCGTAGTTTCACAAGATCCACCTGCCCAAGAGAAGGAAGGAAGGAGATGGGCAAGAGCATGAGAAGTCATTCCACTCAAGAAAGCAGGCTCGCCATGACCTCTCCACTTGCTCCGGTTGAATGCTGGGAGAGATGTCTGTCATTGTTTGCGGTCCTTGGCTGCCCTTTCGCCTAGTTTGAAACCATTACAATAAGGCCCTGGAGGAGTAATGCCCTTGCCTTTGGAAACCTCTCCTTTTGGAAACTCCCATTAAAACAACCTCCAGTCTCTGCCTGAGCGAGCCGCTTCCTGCTGCGCCTGTAAATATAACTACTCTCCTTCACCCTTCTGCCAAGATGAGAATAGAAGTGAGACTTGAAGCTGACCAAGCCTCATGCGTTCCTGACAGAGACCCCTCGAGAGTCTCCAGGTCCTTGGAGTGGCTTTGAACTCTCAAGTCCATAACCCAGGTCAGCCCTCTAGCCTCTCTGGATGCAGACTGTAAGTAAGGTGCTCGCTCACCTCAACTGGTCCAACCTCACTGAACTAGCCAGAAGCACAAAGAAAGAAGTGACCCAGGGAAGTGCCCAGTCGGCCTACTCGGGACCTGCCAGGCACAACATGTGCTCAGTGATCAGAAACCACTCAAGCTTTGAGATCTATTCCAGGATGAGGCCAGGTCTGGTCAGCCTGGTTTGAGAGCAAATGTTAAGTAGGCTATTCACTTTTCTAGAAGTTTTAATCAAGATGAAGGAATTGCACCTGTCCAGGCATTCATTTATTCCACTAATTGAGTATCCACTCAGTGTATGTAGCAGGTGGTGTGAAAAGAGCAATGAACAAAGATTCTTGCCTTTGTGGATTTTACAATCCAGTGGGGACAACAGATATAAAAAATAACATATTTTAAATGTATATAATAAGGAGAAATTAAATCCTTATATATACTGCAATAAGGAGGAACCCTCAAAACATGCTGAGTTAAATACATCACAAAAAGGCATATTGAAAATCTCTAGAATAGGCGAGTGGATAGATATCAAACTTTAATGAAGCTGGAGTGAGCTTATCCTCTGTGAGGAAGTTGCGGGGGTGGGCGCTGGGGATTTGAGGAACAACGAGAAGGTGCAATCTAGTATCCACAAGGCTGGTAAACAGACCAGGGTGGGGGTGGGGGACCGTACGATGTGGGGCAGCACTCAGGCCCCACATGATGGTGTTCCTAATGTCACGGGGAGTGAAAGAGAAGTAGGAAGGGAACACGGTGCTTGGAGGACACTGAGCTGCTTCTAGTAACGAACCTCATGACTGTCATGTCCGTTGTGGTTCATAGGGACCCTACAGGACAGAGTAGAACTGCCTCACAGGGTCTCCACGGCTTTCATTCTTTATGAAGACAGATTGCCACACCTTTCTGTGCAGAGCAGCTGGTGGGGTCAAATGCTGACTTTTGGGTTAGCAGTTGAATGCCTGACCACTGCCAACAGGGATCCTGAGCTTCCATTAGGGTTTTTGGAAATTTTGGGATCTGTTAATGGTGATGGCTGAACAACATGATGAATACAATGTTCCTAAACTGTACACGTGAAGAGTGTGGTGGTGGGATTGTCAAGTGCCATTGAGTCACCTACAGTGTATAGCACCCTTCTGAACAAGTTCTGAAGTTTGTCCTGTCCTTTGCCAGAAAAACGGAGAAGAGGCAGATGTGTTATTACCTATGTTTTAACCACAATTTTAAAAATATACCTATTGGAATGGTTATGTGCTTAGGAGAAAAAAAAATACAAAGTAATGAAATGGAGGGAGCTCTGGTGGCCTAGTGGCTAGAAGCTGTGCTACAATCCCAAAAGCGTGTGGTTCGAATTCACCAGATACTCCGCTGGAGAAGGAGGGGCAATCTCTTCCTGTGCCAGTCGGATCCGATTTGTGTTGGTACACAACAAGAAAAGTAAGGAAATGTGATATCAGTAGTGCCAGATAGGAGGGAGTCACCATTAATTTTATTAATATTTCTTTTTAATACGTTGTTCTTGTTGTTATGTGCTGTCGAGTCGCCTGCGACTCATAGCGACCCTATGTACAACAGCCCTAAACTCCACTCTGTCCTGTGCCAATCGCACTGTCTCTGACACTCCCATCCCAATTATCCCAGTCACTGAATCAATCCACCTCATAGAGGGCCTTCCTCTCCTGCGCCGTCCCTCCACCCTCCCGAGCATGATGTCCCTCTCTAAGGACCGGTCTCTCCTCACATGTCCAAAGTATGTTAGACGGAGCCTCAGAATCCTTGCCTCCAAGGAGCCACCCGATTTAACCCTCTCCAGGACAAATCTATTTGTTTTCCTAGCAGTCCATGGTATTCTCAATACTCTTCTCCAGCACCACAGCTCAAAGGCATCAATTCTCCTTCTATCCTCCTTGGTCATTGTCCAACTCTCTGATGCATAACAGGTGATTGCGAAGACCATGGCCTGTATCAGACGCACCTTAGTCTCCAGAGAGACACCACTGCTCTTCAGCACTTTGGAGAGGTCCCTAACAGCAGACTTTCCCATGGCAATGCGCCTTTTAATTTCCTGGCTGCTGGTGCCAAGACTGTTGACTATGGAGCCAAGCAAACTAAAGCTGTGTACAATCTCAGTCTCTTCACCATCCATCCTGATGCTGCCAATTGGTCCAGTGGTGAGAATCTTTGTCTTCTTGACATTGAGCCTCAATCCATATTGTAGGCTGCAGTCCTTGACACTCTGCAGCAGGCGCTTCAGGTCCTTCTCAGTTTCAGCAAGCAGGGTTGTGTCATCTGCATAACGCAGATTGTTGATAAATCGTCCACCAATCCTGACCCCACATTTCTCCCCATAGAGCCCAGCCTCCTGGATAATCTGTTCTGCATATAGGTTGAAAAGGTATGGAGATAGGATGCATCCCTGGTGTACGCCCTTCCCAATTTTGAACCATGCAGTGTTCCCTTGCTCTGTTCTGACGACTGCCTCCTGGTCCAAGTATAAGTTTCGCATTAGAACGATCAAGTGTTCTGGGATTCCCATTCTTCTCAGAGTCAGCCACAGTTTGTTATGATCTACATAGTCAATGAAACACAGATAGACATTCCTCTGGTATTCCCTGCTTTCAGCCAAGATCCATCTAACATCAGCTACAATATTTCTAGTACCACGACCCCTTCTGAAACCAGCCTGGACTTCTGGTAGTTCTCTGTTGATGTGCTGTTCCCGTCATTTTTGGATAATCTTCAGTAAAATCTTGCTTGCATGTGAAATTAGTGCAATTGTTCTGTAGTTTCCACATTCGGTTGGGTCGCCTTTCTTTGGGATAGGAACAAATATCGATCTCTTCCAGTCAGTTGGCCAAGTGGTTGTTCTCCAGATTTCTTGGCACAACTTGGTGATATATAGTTTCGGTAAAAGTTTAAATAGCAAATTATCTTATTAAATAATTATATAAATTTTGTTCTCTAACACTTGTTGTTATATACTGTCAAGTCATTTGTGACTCATAGTGACCCTATGTACAACAGCACTGAACCCTCCTCTATCTTGAGCCTCTTTCATTGTCTCTGACATACCTATCTCTATTACCCCAGTAACTACATCAATCCCTCTCATCCAGGATCTTCCTCGCTTGCATTGTCCCTCCACCCTTCCAAGCATGATGCCCTTCTCCAAGAACTGGTCCCTCCTGGCAGCATGCTCACAATATGTCAGATAGAGCTTCAAAATCCTTGCCTCCAAAGAGGAGCCTGGTTTCACCTTCTCCAGGACAGACTTGTTTGCTTTCTTGGCAGTTCATAGTATATTCAATACTGTCTTCCAGCACCACAATTCAAAGGCATCAATTCTCCTTCTATCATCCTTAGTTATTATCCAGCTGTCTGATGCATAACAATTAATTGCATAGATCATGGCTTGGATCAGGTGCACTTTAGTCTCTAGATTTATATTGTTGCTCTTCAGTACTCTGGAGAAGTCTCTGACAGATTTTTCCCAATGCAATTCATCTTTTGATTTCCTAGCTGTTGATACCAAGAATGTTAATTGTAGAGCTGAGCGAGTGGAAGCTGTTAACAGTTTCAATCTCTTCTCATTCTACATGATGTGCCAATGGGCCCAGTGGTAAGACTCTTTGTTTTCTTGATGATGTGTTTTAATCCATATTGAAGACTGTAGTTCTTGAACTTCTGCGGCAAGTTCATGAGGTCCTCCTCAGTTTCAGCAAGCAGAGTTGTGTCATCTGCATAACGCAGATTGTTGATGAATCTTCCTCCAATCCGGATGCCACATTCCTCCTCATAAAGCCTAGCCTCCAGATGATCTGATCCACATATAGATTGAAAAAATTACGGAGATAAGATGCATCTCTGGTGTACACCTTTCCTGATTTTGAACCATGTAGTGTTTCCTTGATCTGTTCTGACAATTGCATTTTGGTCCAAGTACAGGATTATCATGAGCACTATCAGGGATTCTGGGATTCCCATTCTTTTCAAGGTTAGCCACAACTTGTGATCCACACAGTCAAATGCCTTTGCATAGTCAATGAAACACAGATAGACATTCCTCTGGTGCTCTCTGCTTTCAGCTAAGATCCTAGTCACTAGCAATTTCAAGGAGATGGTGAGATTTGAACAAAAACAAAAGGTGAAAGAGTCTAACATCTGGAGGGAATACCTTCCTGCAAAGGGAGCAGCTGTGCAAAGGCTCTCAGGCATATGTGGGTGTGGCTGCAGAGTTGTGAGTGGAGTAGGGGATGAGGTCAAAGAGGTGAGGTGGGGCCAGACCATACAGGGCATTGTAAGGACTGGCCAAGTCCAAGAGAAATGGGAAGTCACTGCAGGGTTGTAAAAGAGACATTACAAAATGGTCAGGATGACTAGCTGCTCTGAGCATAGACTTATAGGGAAGCAAGGAGGAGAAACAAGATGACCAGTTAGAATTACAAAAATTTAGGCAAGAGATGAGGGTGACCAGACCCAGGTGGAAGCAATACACATGGAGGATTGATTGGCTTCTGGATCTAGTTTTTAAAATAGGGGCCATAAGAGTTCCCAGGTGGCTTGGATTTAGTGTGTGACGAAAAGACGTTGAGTCTGTCTGAGGCAGCTTCTCAATGCTGATTCTATAACTATCACCACTCTCAGCATTTCTCTGTGAAAATGAGTGAGAACAGTGATGGTCCTTGAAGCAGGCCACGCTCCATGTATTCCTGATAATGACCCCAACATAGTCTCTACATGCTTGGAGAGGTCCTGGTGGCTTCTTGTTAGGTGCTGGAGTTTTTAATGATTCACGGTGACAACAGCTCCACACTTTGCCCTGCTCTGCACCATCTTCACGAGCACTCTGATGCTTGAGCCCATGGTTACCGGCGCTGCGTGCTGTCACGCCATCTCACTGAGGGTCTTCCACTTGACAGTCACCTCATCGTGTTGAGGGTCTTCCACTCTTTCTCTGACCCTCCACCTTTCCCAACATGATGTCTTCTTCCAAGGATTGGTCCCTCCTGTCAATATACCCAAAGTACGTGGGACAAGTTTCACCATCCTTGTCTCTAAACAAATATAGTAAAAATGTTAATAATTGATAAATCATGACCTATCTAGGTGGTAAGGAGATGAATGATCACTGTATTATTTCTTTTTCAACTTTCACATATGCTTGACTTTTTTCATAATTAAAAAATGTTGGAGGAGGGGAGCTCTGGTGGCCTAGTGGCAAGGAGCTGCAACTACAATCCCAGAGGCTCATGGTTCGAATCCACCAGATGCTCTGCCGAGGAAGGAGGGACAATCTCCTCCTGTACCAGTCAGATCTGATTTGACGGTACACTCACACAAAAATAATAAAAGAAAATAAAACAAACAAAAAAAATGTTGGAGGAAAGGAAAGGAAATGAAATGTAGACTGCAATGGACAAGTCTTTCAAAGAATTATGGTGCAACCTAGCACAAAAATACAGGTGTTAGTGTGTGGTTGTTGCTGTCGTTGTTGTTGTGTACCGTGGAGTCACCTACGACTAACAGCGATCCTATGTACAGAAGCCCTAAGCTCTGCTCTATCCCATGCCAATCTTATTGTCTGACACACCTACCCACATTATCCCAGCCACTGAATTAAACCACCACATCAAGGGTCTTCCTCTCCTGCACTGTCCCTCCACCACCCCAAGCATGATGTCCCTCTCCAAGGACTGATCCCTTCTTGCAACATGTCCAAAGTATATCAGACGAAGCTTCAGAATCCTTGACTCCAAGGTGTTAGTGTGAAGGGGGAGTAAATTCAAGAGGGTTTTTGTTATTGTTGTTGATTTGTAGAACATTTGTAGTAATCCAGAAAGGAATAATCTCAGGTACAAAGAAAAAAAAATGACAAGAAAGAGATGAGAAAATTTCCAGAGCAACTCCCTGAAGTACGCAAAAAGTTGAGTGAGATGGAGAGAGTGCGTCTATGTGGAAGCGAGGGGAGTCAAGCTGTGATATTGGGTGAGACAGCAGAGCATGTGATAAGGGTGCCTGTGGAGGCAGTAGTGTTGGGAATGTGGGAAAGCTCTTTTCTGCTTGCTTCAGTCTCCTCTGTGAAATAGGATTGAGGTCATCCTCTTTGAGGGAATTAGGGGAGGAAGGGTTGGAGACTTGTGGAACAAAGAGAAGTTGTGATTTAGTCAGCCATGGGCCTGACAGAGTAAGGAGACCAAGGGTGGAGAGTAAGACAGGGGTCAGGCCTCACTTGAGGATCTCTTTCTCACATCTTAGGTCACTTGATGGTCCTTTCTCGAATTGCCAGAGACCAAAGGACTTCTCAAGAATCCTTCCTACCTGAATATACACAATATAGAAGGACTAGACTTGAAGTCAGATGAGACAAATCCTGCCTCTCTATCCTTGAGCTAGTCATGTCACCATGCTAAGCCTCAGTTTTTGCAAAATGCAACAAGACTTTCCTTACATAGCTTTTTGGTCACTGTCGACAGTGAGGTCTTACAGATACTAGGTGATATTCTCAAGAGCTCATGAAGCCTGATGGGTAAGTATGAACCCTAGAGTCAGAAAGGCCCAGGTTAGAATCGTATTTCTACTCATGTAACATCTCAAAGCTCTACTACCTCATCTGAACAATAACAGTATCAATGATGATAGCACTTGACTTTGAAGAAGTAAGCATTCAACCAAATGTTCTGCTGAAGGAGGGACAATATCCTCCTGTATCAGTCAAATCCGATTTGACAGTACACACATTTAAAAAAAAAAGGAAGAAGTAAGCATTCGGTCCGTGGTGGCCGCTAAGGAGACAAAGGGGCCACACGCCGGCTTTGCACTGTGAAGAAGCAAGCTCCCTTTGGCTGGGCTGGCTGGCAGCTATTGTCTTAGGTGAAGAAAACCAGGAACCAGGCAGCTGCTAGCCATTAAAAAATAATTCAGCAAAGGCCTGAATCAAGAACACCATTCTCTTTCTGGAGTATGAGATAAGCAGAATGCCCTGAGAGCTGAGGTGATTCACACTAGTGGGGGTAGATGATGGTCTAGGAAAGATGCCAGCAGGGGTGTAGGTGGAAATGCTTGGGTTTTAGAATCAAAATTTCCTTTGTTGTTTGAGAAAAGACTCCCGGAGCTTGTGAGAGCACCAAACAGAGGGGGATCTGGGCACGGTGGGGTGACCTCAGTGCAGTGCAAGTTGGAGATGAAGACATGGACTGCCTCTCCCTTAATGTCTGAGAGATGGGAGGTCCTCAGAAACAAAGCCTGGGCCTCGCTTATCCCAAATCTGCACTAGTCCACTGCACTATTGATTGAACTGAATAACTAACACACACACACACACACACACACACACACACACAAATTGCACACAATTTCAGAATCTGCTATCCATTACTATCCATCTATACTGCCATTGTTTTAGTAGTTATGTCCCTCTGAGTTGCAGTGTCTCACTGTCCCCTAAATAAGGGGACTTGGCCCAGAGACAAGCAGAGGCATAAACAAGTATGTTCCTAAATGCTGGCCCTGGTAATTGGGGTAGAATAGTCAGGCACAGAGTTTGGGCAAGGAAGCAAGCGACCAGAACATAATTTAGACTGGCTAGTACCTGGCACTGAGATGTTTGGCAATGATTCCTTTTCGTTAAGCTTCTAATCTGGGAGAAGCCTTGTAGATGATGCACCCGTAGGTGGTGCAGGAGGGTAACTCATTCAGCTAACCAGAAATGGAAGGTTTGAGTCCACACCAAGTTGTCTCAGAGGAAAGCCTAGTGATTTACTTCTGAAAAATTAGCCGTTGAAAACCCTGTGGAACACAGTTCTTCTCCAACACACATGTTTTTGTTGTTGTTGTTAGGGGCCAAATACGAGGTAACCACAGGTTGGAACTGACTTGGAAACTGATGGTGTAGGTAATAATTTTGACCCACTGTGGTCACGAGCTCTCCTAGACTAGCTGTGAGAATTCTAGGACTTCGGCTTTCACTTTCTTGCTCTCACCAGATGAAGCTGCAGCAATACTTACTGGATCATTCTTACCCATCTGAATTCGGTAGCGAGAGATGAAGTTGGGTTTTCCGGTTGTGTCAACCACCAGTAGAAGCCCACTGAAGAGCCAGAAGAACAGACCCGGTACCTGGGTGGTAGCTAAGTTTGGGAGAGAGGAGAGAACCATCTGGATTATCAGGCTGTTGCCGCACAGTGACTGCTCACAGTGTCTAGTCAGGGAGGTCCCAGGGCTACGGACTGGGGGCCAACCACTAGGAGTGGCAAACTAGCTGTGGGAATTTAGACAAGTCACTTAAGGTGTGACTCATAGCCCCCAGTAGGTTTCCAAGACTGTAAATCTTTAGGAGAGGAGACTGCTCATCTTTTTCCCATGGGGCATCTAATAGATTTGACCTTCTGATCTTTCAGTTAGCAGTCAAACAATATTACACACTATGCAACCAGAGCTCTTTCTCTCTAGATGGTTAGAATGTGAAAAAAGGGGGGGGGGTGTATCACTTATTCCTTCTTGTCAAGTGACAATGCTCCAGCAGACTTTCAGAGGCTGTAAATCACGCAGAAGACTTGTTCATCTTTTTTCCACGGAGTCATTGGTGGATTTGAACTACCAGAGAGGCACTACCTTTGGGTTAGTCCCACAACTCCCTACAGACTCCTGCCATCGGAGCTCCATATCTATGTAGAAAAGGCATGCTGTGTGAATCCACCATTGCTTTTCAGAAGAAAGATGAGTAACCTCTTCCTGTGTGGTTTACAGCCTCTAAAAATGTGCTGGAGGGTCAGCTATGAGTTGTGATTTGATGGTTATCATCGTCAACAAATATAAATAAATTAGAGATAGATGATAGATAGATAGATAGAGAGAGATAGATAGATGGATTGATAGATATAGACATATAGCTGTCTTTATGTGCCATTGAGTCACAATCAACCCATAGTGGACCCTCCAGCTGGTTTTCAGAGGCAATAAATTGCACGATAGGAGATTTCCCATCTTTGTCTGTGGAGCAGTTGGTGAATTCAAACGACTTGCCTTCAGGTTGGCAGCACAGCTCCTTACCACTAGGCCACCAGAGCACCCTGATTTTAATTGTATATATCTGTTGTTATTGCCATGTGCCATATTGTCACCGACCACCCGACCACGGTCATGACAAGAAACTCAAGGGGTTTCTTGGTGAAGAGCAGGTGAGGGACGAAGTCGGCGAAAATGAGAGTCTGCACACCAGGATGAT